CTTATAAATATCTTTTTGTGAATATGCTAGAATAACAATTTTAAAATTAAAGTAAATGGAAACTACATAAAATATTACTGAGATTCATTATTTGTAATATGATAAAATAAATGATCAAAAAATGATTAAATTAATCAGAAATCCTACTTTAATAAAATAATCAAACTAAATTTAATTACATGGAATTCTGATTATTTTATGTATATCAATTGACATTGAAATAATTTCAAAAATCAATAAAATCTATCCTCACAATTAAAATTTTATTAAAACTCAACTTCTAAAATTCATTTCGACATGACTATAAACTTAGATTCCATTTAAATTAAATTTTCGATCATATATTTAGTAATGTTAAGAGTAGTTCATCTCAATCGTAATATAAAAATAATCTTTAAATTAAAAAATAAAATTATTATTTTTAAATATATTCATCTATTTTAGGTAATCAATTTCTAAATCCTTTTCTTTTATTAATGTCAAGTCCTAAATTGATATTCAATTCTATCTTTATCTATGATAACCCAATCATCAAATTTCCATCAATGAAATTCTTAACCTAAGGTGTGAAGAATAGCTGAAAAAATAAAGCAACAGGTATGTAAGATTTGATAATTGTGTGCCATCTCTATGTTCTTACTTAATGATTATTCCTATTTTTATACTAAGACATTAGTATAGACAATTTGTAATTTGATTTACAACAACAATTTTAGTTCCTAATTCTTATAGACTAGACGATTATGCAGTTTACTCACTCGCAAATCATTTACTACCAGCAATTAGTACAATTTATACTTTTCCTCTGTTTATTGTTTCTGTACTTTCCAAACACAATCCAATATTTTAACTATAACACTTTTCATATTTTCTTAATATAGAACTTCAAGTTGAGATCTATCAAGCAAGCTTCATTGATTTCCTGAGACATTAATTGAACTGGTGTGATTTGATTATATAGAATATTGGGGCCAATAATATTCAGTCTAAATTTCCAATCATTTCTAATTAATCCTTTTTCAATAGCAATTTGAAGATTTTTACTAAGAGAAAAAATTTAAGCATAGAATCTATGATGTTGATTGTCAGATTAGGCCATAAGAAGAGCTTAAAATAAACCAATAACAGTTTCCTTATTGAAAGCAATTTTATCAGCTTACTCTTATTAATTATCATTAAGATTAGTTTTAAGTTTATTTAAGCCTATTTATATATGCATTTGTTGCATCCTGATAAAATAAGTTTGCCTGAATCTTCAATTGAACTTTCTATCATTTAGTTTGTTTAAGCTAATCTTCTCAAACATTGTATTAGATTAGGCAATTCATGAAAATTATTATTATTGGTGAAGTAGCTTCAATAATAAATGGATAAAAAGAATTTTTAATGAATCAAAAATCAAATGATATTCAGAATGATCAGATGTTCTATTATTAATAATATTTTCATAAACATACCTGAATTTTTTAGAACATTATAAACTTAAATTCATCATATATAATTACCAAGAAACCCTACTGTCTTTTCAATTCTCATTATAAATATGCCTTCTTTTGAACATGAATTAAAATAATATCCCATTATTTTAATTTATTTGATTTTCCCAGAAAATACTCTCCTAATTTCAATGAAGTTTTCTTTTCCAGTTTATCTTATTTGAGATATAAACATTTTCAAAGGCCAATGTTGATTACAAACATTATTTGTTTAAGCAACATAATTATTTTATGGTCCTTCATAGAAATAAAATATCCAATAATTCTAGGCCTATTAAGGTAATAGTAAGTGGCAAATCATCTAAATAAAATAATGTGCAAAATTAATTAACTGCAATATCAAAGGAATAGTCTGCTAAAACTTTTCTAAATGTATTGAATTAAGAGGCATAAAATTCAACTAATTTAGTGCATATCAATGCCTATCCTTCCTTTTTGATCAAAATGATATTATTCCTTATTCTGGCTTTAATAATAGATAAACTATATCATTTTATTAGCTTTCAAATCAATTACATTTATTTGTTCTATTATTTAGACTACAGTTTTTTATGTATTGAATCATCGAAAAGATCCATTTAAGTTAATTGGAAGTATGATTAATTCTTCCTTTTATTTTACTACTACATCTTCACACTGTCTTAGTAAGAAAAATATTTCTCGATATTTACTTATGTTCCTCTATTATTAATGAAGCTATTATGCTCATATTTTAGATACTACTCACAAATCCTTAAAACTTTTTTAAGAATCTTAACTCTAAAAATTTAACTAATGGGCTAAGTATTGTGATAGGTCTATTTTGCTATTTTGATGAGAATATAATTACTTGAGCTTGCCTAATAGATTTATTTATATAACGAGTTATATTTATCAATTTAGAATAATTTTGAATAAGCAACTAACTTCACTTTTAATATGCGCATTCTTAATCTTGAAAGAGGTATGTAATTATCTTATTTAAATCTAACTAATTTATTGTGATTTTTTTTATCAGAAAAGTTCTATTGATCAATTCAAAAAGACACCTAGAATCGTTGATTTCTAAAAGATTTACCCTAAACATTGGCAAATATAAAAATAAAATAATTGATAACACGAATATTTGAGAAAATCATAATTTTAATAAAAATTCAAGACTTTATTAAATGGACTTAAACTTTAATTAATTGTATCTCAGCTAGGAGATGATTTTCCTAAGTAGACTTTTACTCAATAAAAAATAAATTCAAAACAATTATTTTACTTTTATAGTATTTTTGAAATATTTATTATATAATAAAATTGTACTAAGAAATTATGAACAGGAAATATTGTTTTCTTGTGGAAATCAAATTTAATGAAAAGTTTTCTTAGTACTGAAAGAGTCAATTTATAATAAACACCACTATAATAATTAAGGAAAAGTACATATCCACATGATTAGAACTATTCTTCATGATTGTCACATTCAATAATGAATAAGCAAACAGATGAATTTAATATTTTTGGATTTCTAAATCAAATAATAATAATACTAAACATTTAAAAATATTTATTTAATTAAATCTGATTAATTTTCTGTTAAATACATATTTTAATGAAATAAAAAATATAATATGAAACATAATTTATTTAATGAAATAATAGAAATAGTTTACGTGTTAAGACATTGAACACGAAGGAGAAGATATTTAAGGATTTTGCTTAAATTTGGGATGCTAAGATTCAAAACCTTAGTTCTGTCTCTAATGTGGTGTTGATCCTATGAAACATTCTAATTGCAAGAAGGACTTAAAAGGATTTGGTTATATTTCTAGTTTTATTACGAAATTCAATTAGAATATACTTGATTTAACAACCTAATTGGATAAATCCTTTGTATAAGTCAAACAGAAATATGAAGAATTTTCAAAATAATTAGAGAAAATTAAACTATAATTACTTAAGATATCTCAATATTTAAATTAATAAGATTATAATTAAATGAAAGAAAACTTATAATTAATTAAGGAGGGCTACCAATATTTAAATAATTAAGAGGAGATTAAGAAGTAGAATTAAATTGGTATTTTTATAATTGTAATATTTTTAGGAACACAATTAATTAATATTAAATAAATGATTGAAGCTTGGGATTTAAATAAAATATAATAATAAACTCAATATATAGATCATTAAAGCATACTCTAGTAAGGTATTTTTTTTTTTTATTAAATTAGGATTATAATTACTTAATTAATAAAAATGGTAGTAAGCTAATGAATTATTAATAAAAAATATAAAAAATTTGGAGAAACAATTATCATTTGCAAAATTCTTTTAAAGTACTTTTCAAATTCATCAAATAATTTAGGTATTTCTTTAATAGAAATGAATTAAACAGGAATAGGAATAAATATGAGAGATTAAGCGAAAAAGATTAATAGTAATTTGTTTAAAGATTTATTGGATTATTCAGATTAAGAACTTAAGTAAAATCCATAAAATGCTTTCATTTTAATTGCAAAAAGTTAATCAAATCAAATATCTTCAATAGGTTATGCATTAAATGATGAGAAACAATTTCAATTAGCAATTCAATAATGTGACAAGGTTTTGCTGGAGGAACCCTAAAATATTCATGCTTTATATAGAAAATGTATTCATTTATTTTCAAAGTAGGTTTTTCTTTATTTGACTTGAAAGAATATGAATAGGCTATTTAATGCATTGACAAAGCCCTCATAAGCAATTCAAAGTATAGTATAGGTTTGTCAATGAAAGGTACATGAATTGTTTATATTCCAATAGGTGTTTCTTTAGAAAACCTTAAGAAATATGAAGATNTATCTTATTTAAATCTAACTAATTTATTGTGATTTTTTTTATCAGAAAAGTTCTATTGATCAATTCAAAAAGACACCTAGAATCGTTGATTTCTAAAAGATTTACCCTAAACATTGGCAAATATAAAAATAAAATAATTGATAACACGAATATTTGAGAAAATCATAATTTTAATAAAAATTCAAGACTTTATTAAATGGACTTAAACTTTAATTAATTGTATCTCAGCTAGGAGATGATTTTCCTAAGTAGACTTTTACTCAATAAAAAATAAATTCAAAACAATTATTTTACTTTTATAGTATTTTTGAAATATTTATTATATAATAAAATTGTACTAAGAAATTATGAACAGGAAATATTGTTTTCTTGTGGAAATCAAATTTAATGAAAAGTTTTCTTAGTACTGAAAGAGTCAATTTATAATAAACACCACTATAATAATTAAGGAAAAGTACATATCCACATGATTAGAACTATTCTTCATGATTGTCACATTCAATAATGAATAAGCAAACAGATGAATTTAATATTTTTGGATTTCTAAATCAAATAATAATAATACTAAACATTTAAAAATATTTATTTAATTAAATCTGATTAATTTTCTGTTAAATACATATTTTAATGAAATAAAAAATATAATATGAAACATAATTTATTTAATGAAATAATAGAAATAGTTTACGTGTTAAGACATTGAACACGAAGGAGAAGATATTTAAGGATTTTGCTTAAATTTGGGATGCTAAGATTCAAAACCTTAGTTCTGTCTCTAATGTGGTGTTGATCCTATGAAACATTCTAATTGCAAGAAGGACTTAAAAGGATTTGGTTATATTTCTAGTTTTATTACGAAATTCAATTAGAATATACTTGATTTAACAACCTAATTGGATAAATCCTTTGTATAAGTCAAACAGAAATATGAAGAATTTTCAAAATAATTAGAGAAAATTAAACTATAATTACTTAAGATATCTCAATATTTAAATTAATAAGATTATAATTAAATGAAAGAAAACTTATAATTAATTAAGGAGGGCTACCAATATTTAAATAATTAAGAGGAGATTAAGAAGTAGAATTAAATTGGTATTTTTATAATTGTAATATTTTTAGGAACACAATTAATTAATATTAAATAAATGATTGAAGCTTGGGATTTAAATAAAATATAATAATAAACTCAATATATAGATCATTAAAGCATACTCTAGTAAGGTATTTTTTTTTTTTATTAAATTAGGATTATAATTACTTAATTAATAAAAATGGTAGTAAGCTAATGAATTATTAATAAAAAATATAAAAAATTTGGAGAAACAATTATCATTTGCAAAATTCTTTTAAAGTACTTTTCAAATTCATCAAATAATTTAGGTATTTCTTTAATAGAAATGAATTAAACAGGAATAGGAATAAATATGAGAGATTAAGCGAAAAAGATTAATAGTAATTTGTTTAAAGATTTATTGGATTATTCAGATTAAGAACTTAAGTAAAATCCATAAAATGCTTTCATTTTAATTGCAAAAAGTTAATCAAATCAAATATCTTCAATAGGTTATGCATTAAATGATGAGAAACAATTTCAATTAGCAATTCAATAATGTGACAAGGTTTTGCTGGAGGAACCCTAAAATATTCATGCTTTATATAGAAAATGTATTCATTTATTTTCAAAGTAGGTTTTTCTTTATTTGACTTGAAAGAATATGAATAGGCTATTTAATGCATTGACAAAGCCCTCATAAGCAATTCAAAGTATAGTATAGGTTTGTCAATGAAAGGTACATGAATTGTTTATATTCCAATAGGTGTTTCTTTAGAGAAGTTATAATTTTGTTTGTTTTTTTTTAATAAGTAATAAAAGCCTATTTTAAATTAATTTTTTTCATTATTATTTACTTGACTTTTGAAATTAGTTTAATCTTAAGTGTATATTTATTAATCAGTAAAAAATATAGGCTAGATTATTAAATTATAATATATTTTAATATTTGCCCATTTTTCTATTGATATTTTAATTTCTTAAGCTTTTTATTAGAACAGAATAACTAGCATAAAATTCATTACAATTTAGGTTATCGAGAATTTTTTTAACTAAAATCTAAAACAGTATTTAAGATATCATATTTGCATTGATTGAAAAATTTAGTTTTAACTCATCAAAATCATTTCATATGATAATTCAATTAATAATAACAAATTAAGATTTAATTTTCAGAACTTAGTAATTAGATTAAAGAAACTGAAATTTAGTGATGATATTTAGATGAAGGCCTGAAAATTGTATAGTTATGATTTAGCAATCAAATAGTTATCATATTTTTATATAATCGTAAAAATGATTTATTAATTTCTCATTTTGGTTTATTTAAAATAATTTCTTTAATTATAGTAATATTCTCTATAGTATTTTAAAATAAAAATAAAAGTTTTTATGCTCCTTTTAAATATACAACGAAATAGATTATCGAAAAAATATGAAAATTAAATCTTATTATAATAGGATTATAGTTTTTCCTTTATCAGATCTAAAGACAAAAGGCACACCTACACGTATAGTTTATCAATCAAAATGGTTCCTTGTTAATTTATTGAAATTGGTAAAGGAATGATATTTAGATGATTTGTAAAAAATTACATTAAATTAAAAAAAATAGAAATCAAGTCTCAGCTAATAGATTAATAAGAGAAGCATCCTTTAAGAATTTTTCTATGTCAAAATTTAATCTCAACCAATTTTATATATCAATTATTCTTAATATAAATTAAGAAGGTATTTCCTTTTGATAATATAGTACTTTTTATAATTGAAGATTAATTACTTAACTTATTAAAATAATAGTAAAAAGAAAAAATTTTCTACTTTGCAATTATAAGCGGTTATTATTTATTTAAATCCAAAATTCAATAGCGAAAGTTAGGAGACTTTAATTCCTCAGTTTGAAATTTATTTAAATCATTCCTATATCATGTTTTGAACAGATTAATAAATCTATCTACAGCCATTGACCTTAAATCACTAAAAATAAGAGTCAAAAGTATACCATTACTGGAAACAGATAGTTTAGAAAGTTTAGAATTTTAGAAAATTTGAAAATCTAAACTTGAAGATAAAATATATAAGCAATTAAAATTATCTTCGGTTAATCCAGCAGGAAAACTTCATGTTATAAAATAAAAACAATTCTTTAAGCTTCTTAAATTTGAGAGCAATAAATAGTAAAATAATTGACAATTTAAAAAAAACTAAATTATTAAATTATTGGTTGTTTTTCTTAATATCAAATATAATAATTTTCAAGATTCATTCTAAAGTTAACAATTCGATAAAGAAAAGAGGTACTAGTTGGATGAGGACATGTAAGAAAAAATCTATTTCAATTTCGATTTCCATTAAATCAATTAATTCACTACCGACAATTCGCTATTGGAAAATATCTAATTTATATGGTAAGAAGTTTTTAAATATGCTATAATAAAGTAAGAAGCTTTAAAAATTCAAATGTCACTTCCGATAAAAAAAAAGATAGTTAATATAAAACACCATTCTACTCTTTAGAGAAACTTAAGGAGAATAATTATTTAATGGATCAAATTATTTCAATGAATGCGGCGAGGTATTAAAGTAATGTGATTAAATAAATATGAAAGCATGGCTCATTTTAAAAACATTCTAGTTATATCTACGAAAAAGATAAATAGCAATTAAAATCGGTCTCAATATCACCAACCAATCTATTGAAAAAGAAGCAAGATAGCAAACTATTAGTACCTAAGCATATTTATTTATAAATCAATATATTTAAATTGCCAAAAAAATTTTCAAATACAATGAATAATAAATCATGATCTCATCTTCTTTTCTATTATTTTTAAAATAGTGATGCTTCCTGTAAAAAATTATTAGTTGATTATTTTTAGCTTTCCTAATTTATTTTGGTTTGATAAGAACGTATCTTAGTTTCAATTTGTTCTTCTACAAACGAATCTTAAATTGCTCAATTTTTATTTTTATTTTATGACTTTCTCAACTTCTACTTAAAATTATTCCCTTAAAAAATTCTAAAGAATATTCCTGCACAAGGAAATGATCCGAGACTTTTAAAAATAATCTTAAATAAACAACACTGATACTCAAGATCATCTACTGTTAGGTTCACTCATACTTTACCAATGTATTTTTTAAATAAATCATTAAAAACTTATTCAAGAGTGAATTTCAGATCTACTTGTTTTTCATTTATATTAATTCAATTTCATAAAATAAATTCACTTTTGTTATTTTTGAAAAGCTATCTAAACTTGAATTTGTCCTTTTCAATTTCGAAAGCATATTCCCAAAGTATTATTGAGAAGATAAATTCAACTAATATGTTAAGATTTTTAATTTGGCATGTAAAAGTTTATTTAACATTAATGCAGAATTCACGATTCGACATTCATATCTATTAGCTTTGCTTCTGAGTATGTAATAGACTAAAATTAGATTTAATTTAACTCTATAAAATTATTTTATATATAATAAAAAAAAGCACAAT